TGCAGTTGACCCTCCGTCGCCGACTATCACTCCGCCCGACGAGCAACAGGCAGCGGAGGATCACCCTCTGGCGGCAAACGATCACAGTTCGCCTACTGAGATGCCGGTCCCCACACAGGACCAGAGCTCGCCGACCGAAATCCCTGTACCAACGGATTTTCCAGAGGAAAGTAACGATGACGGCGCAGCGGGAAATCGCAGCAATGGTGACGCTGCGCCACATGTTCCCGAACATGCCGATGATGACTTCCTCAAGAAGGATGACTGGTCCCCAGAGAACGACGTCCGCAATGAGATTGAAACAATGGAGGATAACGCAGAGAAAACTCTCACGTATGGACCAGATCAGACCGACCTACCAGACTATTTCAAAGTATTCAAGAAAGTCCACATTGTTCGTAGATCTGGGCCTCAAGGTGATGTTAACACCAAAGTGAAGCAAACCATGGAATACATCGTTGTCTTGAACATGGACGATATCGCAAATACAACAATGACCTTCGTATTCAATTGCGATGCACCATGGTGTCACCGTTTCCCAGAGCAATGCGGACACAGAGCTTTCACCAAGTACCTTTTCCAGTGCATTGGTACTTTCCGATACAGAACCTTGGCATACGGCAGACGTTCATGGTGCGCCATGGCATACCTGAACCTCTCTTTTATCTTTTTTTATTTTGTTATCTTTTATTATTTTTTTTGTAGTTTTATCTTATTTGCTCTTTTATTTGTTATATAGTCTTTATTTTTTCTTCTTCCGTTTTATATCTTACTTTATCTATTTCTTTTTTCTTTCTTTTTCTTTCTCTCTTTTTATTTCTTTTTATTTCTTTTTTTTGACCAGCAGGCTGGCGACAAATTTGCACTCATCGGCATTGAGAACGCCGAGATCGTGCAGAACCATCCCGGCCTTGCTGCACTCCGCATGGGCACAGAGAACTATGTGGAGGACGAGTTCGTGAATGCGGCGCCCCACGACGGAAAGATTTCCACATTGGCTACGAAGCAAGGGGAAACCCTAGCGTCGCGAGACGATGTGGAGGCTACAAAAACAGTTATCGAATCTGTCGTTGGTTCACAGTTATCACAACGCACACTCGCCACTCAAGTTCTCCAAGACGCATGCCAGGCTATCGCCGCTTCCGCCGACTCTCAGGGTGCAGCGGGAAACCGCAGCGACCTTGACAAGATCTTGGACGAAGACGACGAAAAGATCTTTGCCCCGCTCGAGCCTGATCACCTCGATCGGGCCCGCCAAATCGTCTCTGCGCCAGGTGGTAGTGTATCTCAGGAAAATTTCGCGACCCTGCTCGCAGGGGTCGCTCAGTTCGACGAGAGCACAGGACTGGCACCTCCAGAGCTACAGACTCGCATCCCTTCTTGCTCAATTTGCACCGCTCGGATGCCCGCCGATTTGGACACTCCTGGGGCCACTCTAAAGTGTGCCTTTTGCATGAGGTACGAGAACTCAAAATGGCCGGACGAAGTTGCGGCCTGGCGAGAACAGTTCGTTGCGTTTGTCGCCACTCAGCCGGATGACGTCGCCCAGCGCGTCACAGCTGCCCCCATTGATACGCGTGGCTTAAAGAAGCCACAGACAGACGCTAAAGATGATCTTCAAAATATGGGGAAGAAAGCTGAGAAACGGCATCAGAAGTGGCTAGCTTGGAACTCTCCATCTCGGGAGGAATGCGACAGGCTACGTGCAAAAGCCGATGCGGACGGCATTCTGCCTGAGAATCCAAACTACCCTCCCATGTACCATCCATGCATGTCCCTTGCACAACGCTTTGCGGAGGATGATGATTTTCGTGAGCAGATGACAACGGTTCGGATTCAAGCTGGCAGGGTTGCATGGACAATAGAAGTTGCCACTGAGGCCGATCGCCTCTGGCAGGCCTCCAAAAAGAGAAAAGAGACTGGAGCACCGAATCTCGGAGCCGAGACACTTCGTGAACGGTTTCAGCGCAACCATCTTACCGTGCACGTCCCGGGCGAGTCTTCCAGCGGTGTCATCACCGCCGCAGAAATTCGCGCGCACCCACAGTCCCTGACTGGGTCCCGGGACGAGATCCGCTCCGGTGTTAAGAGAGAGAGCGCGAAGAATACTACTCTCAGCTTCAGGAGACTGCCAGTGCAGCGGGAAACCGCAGCGGCAACGCTCCAGGAAGCGGTAGTGGGGGTGACATAAGGGGGAGCAGGACCGATCCAAACCCCCAGCCACCACCACATACATCCGAGTATCGTACCTCTTCCGGCGCGTTCGACAGCCATGGCCATGTCGCCTCTCCGGCGCCTCCGCCTGCCGCTGCCAGATATGCGCCCGCGCGTCCCGATGATGGACCACCTCTAGCAAAGCGCCACGCTATCTCGAACTTGACCCACGGTTACAGTCCTGAATACGGTGCCCACTATTACGACAGGCAAATTGCTCCATATGACCGCCAGTGGTACGACTACTGGGGCGAGTTCATCTGGGTCAAAGCGTGGGATCCTTTCGCCAATAGTGGACGGGGCGCGACTGCATGGAACAAGAAGTACACCTCGGGAAAATATACGGGCAGATCATGGCGCTGGGATCCTCCACGCTAATGCACCAGGAAACTGGTTGCCATGCCGCCCACAAGATTTTGAATGGCTTCCAACTTTATCTTATTGTTGATGCGCCTATCGCTATTATTTTATCGTTTTCTTTGTTGATATCTATTCTTTGAGGACGCTCGCACTTACTTTCCGATTGGTATATCACTTCAAGGATTCTTCCCCTTCATGGACTCAACAACTAAGTGTGAAAGTTTATGGTGCCAGCTATCCTCATGTTGTGAGAATACTACTCATATAGATTCAAAAAAAAAAAAATCGCATAATGCACAATTGAAAAAATATCCTTTAGACTCGAACTGTGGCAAGACGTACAGATTGCATCTGGTACAGATTGGATCTGGAACTTGCATAAAAAGATTCACCACCCTCGTACCAAATCGTTCACATATCTTACTTTGATTTGGATTGGATTGAAGACTTCACATTTATACATTTCTTCGATATCATGTGTTGCTTCGGGCACCGACCGTTTGGGTCGGTGTCATAAGAGCTCAGTCTCTCCATTCCACTTCTCTCCAGCCCACAGCACTGCCCTGGGTTCTATCTCGGCGGCAGGCGCTGTAAAACTTTGTTTGCGGGTTAGCGCCGCCGTTGGGTGCGAACCTTACGACAGAGTTTTGGCTGTCCCTTCTTTCCTTCCTGGGCTGAAGCAGTGGATTGCAGACAGGAGTTCAGTAGAGATTCACTCTCCTATCCCGATCCCCGCTTCGGTGCCTTTCGCCTTTGTGCGTGGGCATCGGGCGGGATCGGGACGGGGTGTGTGTGTGAATCCCACTACTTTCCTCCTATCTTGCTCATATCCATCGCCCCTCTTGGCTCGGATGACAGGTACTCGATAGTTGGAGGTACGTTGGGTAAAACCATCGTCCCTCATCGTCTACCGACGGAACACTCGGGGTGGGGTCGGTCCATTGGTCCTCCTCACCCTCACACACCTCATCACAAGGCCAATCTTAGGGGTTCCCTCATTTTTTGAGGGCGCCTCCCTAAGATTGTCATCGCCGTTTGGCCTGTCAATCTTAGGGATAGGGATACACCTTAGGCGATGCTTAAGAAAACTTAAGTTTTCGACCAGAGTCTCGATTATTCTTAACGTTTCAATGTAAATCTTAAGGATTTAATAGAGATGTTGGTTTTTTTATTCAAGTTCTGAGACTATGAATTTCTGAACCCATGATTTCTTAAGCATTTCGCAGGGTGCAGGTTCGAGGCTGGCAACAGTGGTGTGTTGCAGGCACACCTGTGCGCCGTCGTCGGCCGTGCGCCTCTGCCCGGCAGCTTCCCGGGAGCCCCGCGAGCTCCCGGCGTGCGAGGGGGGACCGCCCGGCGCGCCGAGCCGCGCAGACCCCGGGGGCCCACCCCCGCGGCAGCTCCCGCCGGGCTCGCCCGCCTCCGCCGCCCGGCCAGCGGCGGCGGGCGCCGCGCCGCGCCGCCGGGGTGGCCGAGCCGAGTGCCCCTCTCGGGCCAGACGAGAGGGGGGGATTGGGAAAGGGGGGGGGGTACGAAATTTGCTGCATGCAGCTGGTTTCGGCCTCACCGAGGGGCCCGTTCCTCGATACGTAGCCGCCTCCGGCGCTGGGGGGGGAAAATCAGCTGCGTGAGCTGAGTCTCAAACCCCCCCCTTTGCTATTCCCCCCCCTTTCGCCCGACCCGGCACACGCCGGAGTGGCTGAGCCGAGTGCCCCTCGTGCCCGAGAGGGGGGGCGGCCCGACGCGCAGAGCCACGAGGGCCAGGGGCCCCACGGCTCCCGCCGAGCTCCAGCCAGCGAGCGCCCGTCGTCGTGGGGCGAGGGCGATGGGAGTTTGAGCTTGAGGAGTGGTGTGGTTTCCTGTGTTCGACGTGTGCACGCTCTGCGCCAGAGGCCACTGAGCTTCAGGCAGTGCAGCCGTGCGCACCTGGCGAGTGGCAACACCTGAGCGGGTATGGACGGCGGACAGGTGCAGATTTCAGGCCCAGTTTTACCCACGACGGGTGCCTCTCTCGTGTGCATGCAAGCGATTCGTTCCAATCGAGGTTGACATTTATGGATTGAGTGTCCCACAGCCGTGAGCAGCAGCAGCAGCTCTTCGTTCCTATTTTTGGTTATCTACTCCTCATCCCTATTGCTCTCTCTTTGCTCTCTCTTCCAGCCCTCCCCTTCTCCACCCTCTTCTCCTCCTCCTCCTCTTCCTCCTCCTCCTCCTCCTCCTCCTCTTCCTTCCTTCTTTCCTTCCTCTCTTTCTCCCTTCCGTTGTTTTATCTCCTTCTCTCTCTCTCTTCCCCTCTTCCTTCCCCCTCTTCCTTCCCTCCCTTCCTTCCCTCCCTTCCTCTCCGCCTGCTTCCTCTGTCCTCCACGTTCCTTCCCTCCGTCCCCTCCCTTCCTCCCCCCCCCCACTCGCAGTCTCCGGCCTGGCAGGGCCGCCAGCTGGCCGCTCAGATGCTGGCCGCGCTGCCCGAGGAGGTCCAGGACGGCGTGCCCCCCCCCCTTCCCAGCCCTCCCCCTCCCCTCCCTGATCGGGGGTGGACAGACCTCCTACCTCGGGGGCGGAAAAGAGGGGGGTGATGACTAGGGGGGGTGGATATCATGGCGGGGGCCATGATATTTCCCCAGATCTCATGGCGCCTCTTCTTGTTTCATTACGTCCCTGGCCCCCCCGCTGGGCCGCGCACATGCCGCCGGTCATGATTTGCACCCCCCCCTCTTGGACACCCCCCTCTTTGCCGCTCCCGATGATCGGGGGTGGACAGACCTCCTACCCTGACACGTCGATTAGTGAGTTGTCCGTTTTCGGTTCTCGAGAGGGCGCCGCGGCCGTCATCTTCCAGGCTTGCGCCCGCCAGGTCTGGGCCGAGGTCGTTTTCACTAAACCACGTTCTGCCAAAGGGAGGTCTGTCCATCCCCGACCTGAGGAAGGTTGATCGAGGATCGCGGATCGAGGGGGATCGAGGGGGGGTCTGGGGGTCGAGGATCTCGGAGGATCGAGGGGGATCGAGGAGACCCGAGGAGGCTCGAGCAGGCTCGAGGAGGATCGAGGAGGATCGAGGGGGATCGATGAGGGTCGACGATCGGGGGCGTCCAAAAGAGGGGGATGATGACCAGGTGTGTGTGTGTGTGTGTGTGTGTGTGTGGACCAGGTGTGTGTGTGTGTGTGTGTGTGTGTGTGGACATCGTGGCCAGGTCCGTGACGTCTCCCGTGTTTCGGGGCTCAAGAGACGGGGGTCAATGCAAACGGGGGTCAGCCAGGTCGCCCGATCTTGCAGGATCCTGCAGAGCCAGGGGTGCATTGACCCATGTTTGGGTGCAGGATCCTGCAACGGGTCTGGCTTGACCCGGGTCAGTGCGTCCCCAAGTGTTTCATGGCCCCATGCTCCATCCTCTGCGTTTCCGCATGTTCCCTGCCCCCCCCCCTCGTCCGTGCACGTGCCTCGCGCTATAATGCGCTGGCCTTCTGATGCCACCGCCTGCTTTAGCCTGAATCGCCAGGAAGACTTTCGAGCACGAAGAAAGTACCGAAACGGGGGGGGTCTTCACGCGTCGGGCTCGGGGAGGCGATGCCCGTTCGACACCGTCTGGATGCGTTCCTGGGTGCCCGAGATGCTTTCTCTGATGTGGTCCCTAGGTGCGATGGGAGCTACACGAGGCTCACCGCCGTCTCTGTGGCCACCCTCCTGGGCCGCGTCGGAGAAGAGGATCGATGGGGGAGGAGTCCGCGGACGACCCACGGCACAACGCGAGCCTGGAGAGCCCTCGGGCCGCCGCTCCCAGCGCGGCTGGAGAGTTGTGCGTCCCGACGGCGGCGAGGAGGAGGAGGTGGAGGTACGAGCTTGCCGGTCGCCCGGGGACGGCTGGGCCCAGACGAGGGGAGCCACAGAGCCCCCTGGGGGCCCCTCTGCGTCCTCACCGCGCCTCCCCGGTGCGCGCCTCGGATCTGCACGCGCGGGCGCACGGCCGCCACCTCGAGCCGGGGGGGGCGCGGGCGGCCGAGCCTGCGCCCCACGCCGGGCGGCTCGTCGCTGCGCAGGCCTCGCGGACGTTACCATCCGAGCAGGGGGTCGCACACAGAATTTATGCGCACACTCTACGCACTCGTCGTGGATTCGAGGGGGGGAAATCAAGTCCGGGGTGCATCAATCCTGTAGTCCTAGTCGATCCCCTGCCCGAGTACTCTTCTTTGCAAGCTCAGGAGCTCCGGTGTAACGTACAACGTTGCGACGAAGCCGACCGAGGCAGGCCCCCGTGGAGCCGGCAGCCGGACGATCAGCCTGTCCGACGAGGCGGTGCTGCCGACGAGGGCGTCCAGGGCCGACCCAGCCGTTTCCAGCCCGACCAAGAGGGTCGTAAGCGGAGGAGGAGGAGGAGGAGGAGGAGGAGGAGGAGGAGGAGGAGGAGGAGGAGGAGGAGGAGGAGAGGAGGAGGAGGAGAGGAGTGAGGGTGGAGGAGCGAGGAGGAGGGAGGAGGAGGAGGAGGAGGTGGGAGGAGGTCGAGCAGAAGGAGAGACGAGGTGAGATGCGCTTTATGATGTTCCAACCTACTTTAGACTTGATCACCAGAAAGAATTTGGTAGCACTGAACCAAATTCGAAGCTCAAGGGTTTTCACGTGTCGGGCCCTGGGAGACACTGTTTCGACACAGTTTCGACACTCTTTCGACACGTTTCTGGGTGCTCGGAATTATTTCTGGGATGTGGTCCTTAAGTACGATGGGAGCAACATAAGATGAGCAATGGAAATTGATGATGAACATGATGATGCTGGTGATGTTGATGGTGATGCTGATGGTGGCGATGGTGATGGTGATGGTGGTGCTGATGAGGCTGCTGCTTCTGGTGATTTTGATTGTTGCCATGATGCGGGTGGTGCTGATTGTGCTGTTGACTATGAGAATGCTGATGATACTGTTGATGTGTGTGATGCCAATGATGGTGGTGATGAATGGGATAGTGATTACGGGATGATGACGGCGACATTGATGGTGGTGGCGATCAGTACCAGGTTGAGTAAGATGATGGTGGTGACCAAGACGATGGCGATGATGACGATGGTGCTGCGGATGAGGATGCTGCTTCTCATGATTTCGATTACCACGATAACCGTTGTTATTACCATGATTTTGCGCTGGTTATTGTGATGAGAAGGGTGATGATAGTGATGATGATTATGACAATGCTTCTGCTGCAGATGATGACGATGTTGATGACGATGCTGATCATGATGATGCTGAGTATTCTGATGATGACGGCGACGACGTTGGCGATGCCGACGACGATGACGATGGTGATGATGCTGATGATGCTGATGCTGCTGATGATGACTACGGGAATGACAATGATGATGGTGATGATGACACCGACGATGATGATGACGATAACGATGATGCTGCTGATGATGATGACGACGATATTGGTGATGATGATGATGACGATGAAGGCCATGATGCTGCTGCTGATGCTGCTGCTGATGATGATGCCGATGCTGATGCTGCTGCAGCTGCTGCAGGTGCTGCTGATGATGATGTTGTTGATGAGGATGCTGATGCGGATGCTGATGCTGTTGCTGATGTTGATGCTGATGACGATTCTGAAGATGCTTCTGCTGATGATGATGACGATGCTGGTGATGCTGACGGTGGTGATGATGATGCTGATGATTCTGATGGTGATGCTGCTGCTGATGATGCTGATGATGAGGATGAGGATGAGGATGATGTTGATGATGATGTTGTTGATGATTCTGATGACGATGATGATGTCGATGATGATGATGATGATGATGATGATGATGATGCTGATGGTGATGTTGATGATGATGATTATGATGATGATGATGGAACAGGAGGAAGACGAAGATGAGCAATAGGAGGAAGAGGAGGAAGAGGAGGAAGAGGAGGAAAAGGAGGAAGAGGAGGAATAGGAGGATGGGGATGAGGATGAGGATGAGGATGATGATGCTGATGCTGATGATGATGATGATGACGATGATGATGCTGAAGATGCTGATGATGATGATGATGATGATGAGGATGAGGATTACGATGATGATGGTGATGATGATGATGCTGATGCTGATGATAATGATGATGATGAGGATGATGATGATGGTGATGATGATGATGATGATGATGATGATGATGATGGTGGTGATGGTGATGGTGATAGTGATGGTGATGGTGATGGTGGTGGTGGTGGTGGTGATGATGATGATGATGGTGATGATGATGATGCTGATGAGGAGTGTGGTGATCATGACGATGAGCCGCAGCCAGAAGCCCTCAGGACGTACCCTCGGTGGGTTACCAGAAGTCATCGCCGACAACACAGGCCTTGCTTTCCAAGGTGGCACCCTTCTCTTTGTTGTTTGTGGGGTTCAGGTTGGCGGGTGGGCTGTACATCGTCGCGCGCAGCTTCACACTCGTTGCCGCCGCTCGACTTGGCCACAACTGTCTGCCCCGGTTTCCCATGCAATCACCGCCCAAGGCAGATTTTGGTTTTCTTCCAAGGGTGTTCATGCATCCTTTTCTCTTCGACCCTTCCTTGGCTAATCTCGTTGGCCAGCCCTGCAAACACGTTGCAACCTGGACGCGCAGGGGTCTCACATCCAAAACCTTGGTAAAACCATTGATTTTGGCTTCCTCGCCGAGGCCGTTTTGGACGCCCTGACCGCTCGCGAAAGCCCCCGTCCAGGTCCAGGGGAGGGAGTAGGGGGGAGGGGTGAACCTCTTCCCGAAGGGGAAGACGGGGGGGTGGAAGGAAACTCCCTAAACCACCTTACGCCTTAAAAGGCTGGTGGGATTACCTTGCGCCCTTCTGATCTCCACCGCGTCGACGCGGCGGCGACCCTGGCAAGGGCGTTCAAAAGTGAACTCTGCCAGTGGCCTGGAATCTGCCGACGTCGAGCGATCCTGTGCGACCCGAGAGGCCACGACGGCTCAGGGCGGAATGCTCCACGCGATGTGCCAGAGACCAACGCCGCAGGTCGTCACGTCTCGAACCCGCCAAGCAGTCAAGACCCGGAGCATAAGTAGGGGAACGAACAATGACATAGACATAACAACTCAGAGGTCCGCGCGGATTTCTCGGATCCGCGCTGGACCCCCCTGGCGGCGCCACTGGCGCCGTCCCTGGCGCGCGGGTTCCAGCGCGGATCCGAGGGATCCGCGTGGACCTCCGAGTTTCTATGTTTATGTCACTGTGCGTTCGTTCCCCCGAGACAGTCAAGACTCCGAGCGTAAGAATCACATCGCCCCGTGTCGGGGGGGGGGGCCCTGGTCTCGAGGCCCCCCCCCAGATCTCACACGGGGAATCTCCTCGTGGCCCGGGCCCCGGGCTCGCCGTGGCCAGCCGCCTCCCCGCCGCGCCTCCTTTGGCGTTCCTCGCGGTCTCTGGCGCTCGTCGTGGCAGCACCACATCGGGCACGGCCCTCTACAGCAGGAATATTTTCAAACATAGGGAATAACTAGTCGTTGTCGAGCACATGTTCACCATATGAAAGGAGACTTGGTTGAGCACGTCTTATTCTTCCTTCCACATCCCCCCGTAGGAGGCCATGCCCGACCCAACCCGGGCCACGCCTCGCCTCGGCCCTTCGTGGTGGCGCGCCCCCGTGACTGCGCCCGGCAGGCCCCCGTCGCCGGCGCCTGGGGCTGGGGGCGCTGCTCGGAGGGCCCCCCCCGGGTGCTCGACGTGGCCCCGATGGCCTCCACCCACCAAACCACCCCAACCCAACCCGAAGGCCTCAAATTGACTTCCATTTCCAGTGGGGGGGCGGTCGGGGAGCATCGAGAAAACACATATGGAACCCGTACCCCCCCCAACCCGAAATTCGGGTCTTCGGGTAGGGTCGGGGTGGTCTGGTAGGTAGTCAGACGGCCTCCAGAGCTCCGCGGGCCCTGGAAGCGACAGGGCCGCTGCTGCTGCCGGGTCCGTCGTGCCGTCTTTGTGCCGGCCGCGGCGCCCTCTTTGGCTCCCGTGCCGTCGCCGCTTCTGCCGCTCCTGGCTCCAGATGATTCAGTTCCACCTCCGGAGCCTCTTTCTTCGCCGTTTCCGGTACACGTGTTTTTTTCCCGCGTCCCGTTTCAAGAGAAACTTCTGCTGGAAACGGTTCAGGAGGGAAAAAAGCACACAGACACAATCAATCGTCGATTCCTTAGAAAATATGGGAAAATAGGGGAAGTGGGGGGGAAGACAGAAACCCAGAACATATGGGAAAATATGGGGAATCTTTTTATTTGTGTGTATTTATTTGTGTGTCCTGGGGCCCCTTCAACGGTGGAAGCCTCCAGAGCACACCTCACCTCACGAGGCCCAGGCGGCCCCAGGAGCTCCCAAGTGGAGAGCAAGGCGGGGGTGCACCGCGGGCCAGGGGCACTTCTAGCAGCACCCGACTGTCAGGAGGGGACAACAAACACAGACACAATTAGTCGTCGATCCCCCAGAAAATACGGGAAAATCTGGGAAGTGGGGGGGAAGACAGAAACCCAGAAGATATAGGAAAATATGGGGGATCAGGTTATTTGTGTCTATTTCTTTGCGTGTCCCAGTTCCCCTTCAGACTGGGAGAGAGGGAAGGCAGGGCGGGGCAGGGAGCCTCATCCGGGCAGGGGCGGGGCAGGGGGGAGGGCAGGGCATCGAGAGGACCAGGCGGCAGGGTAAGGCCGGTGCCATCCAGGGGAGGAGGAGTCGGGAGCCTCGAGACAGGGGTCAATGCAAACAGGAGGTCAGCCAGAGCGCCCGATCTTGCAGGATCCTGCACGGCCAGGGTCGCATTGACCCGGGTTTGGGTGCAGGATCCTGCAGGGTCTTGCAGGACCCTGCGCATTGACCTGGGTTTGGATGCAGGATCTTGGAGGATACTGCAAAGCCTGACTGACCCGGGTCGGGATTGACCCGGGTCAGAAGATCCCCGAAAGAGGAGGAGGAGGAGGAATCGGGCGGGGCCAGCGGAGTGCGTGTCGAGCCTGCTGTATAGGCTTGTTGGCTGCGCATCCTCTCGTTTCCCCGTGGCACGGAACCTCACCCTCTCTTTCGCCGTGTAGATCCGGAGCACGGGTTGCGGATTCCGGCTGCTGCTTGCTGACCGGCCGACCAGCCGACGAGGAGGATGAGGACGATGGGGACGAGAAGGAGGAGTACACTTTAGGCGATGCTTAAGAAAACTGATGTTTTCGGCCAGACTCTCGATTATTCTTGACGTTTCAATGTAAATCTTAAGATTTTGACAGAAATGTTGGGTTTTTATTCAAGTTCAGAGACTATGAATTTCTTAACCCATGATTTCTTAAGCATTTCGCAGGGTGTAGGAGTAGGGGTCAGGTCAAGTTAGTCAGGTCGAGCGAGTCAGAGGGCCCCCTCCATTCCCAACCTCCCTCCCGCAAGGGAGGTTGGGAATAGGGAGGTCACGATTTCGCCGATCAAAGTGCGAACAACCGTGCCCGCGAGTAGCGACCGCATCCGCATTTCCGGAAGCTTGTCGCCACTCAGAGGAAGATGGTGGGATTGACGGGAAGGTGGGTTGCTGGGGTGGGTGAGTCGGGGGCCTCTTCTGATTGCTTGCACCGACAGCGTCCTAGTCTGTGAGCCCTTCCCTAACTCTTGTCAAGCCAGAGCCGCTTACCTTGGAGCAAAGGATCCTAGAGGCCCAGGTCTGCTTGCGTGCCGCAGGGTCAGACACCATCAGGTGGGGTTTTTGGTTGTTGATCTCAAGCTGGTCTTTGCTGCATGAGCTTTGCCGCGTTCACCGCCTCATGTCTGGTGTCATTGACAGTTGAGTGCAAGCCCCAACGACTGTCGAGGGACCGCAGGCAGTGCCTTGACCGCCTTAAGTGTGGCGAGTTTCGGTTAAATGATGCGTGGCAGCGAGTTTCTGGCTTCCGCCCGTTGCCCTTGCCGTGAGAAGGCGCGGATCTCGTGGGGCCAGTGCTCGCCAGGGTGCGAGCCAGTGCCTCTGCTCCAACCTCGGGCGCTACCTGGCGCGCTGCCGCCTGCACTGTTTGGGCTGGAGCTCGTGGGGCCAGCGCTCGCCCAGGAGCCCGCCGTTGCCTCTGCTCTGGTTTCTCGGGGCCCGAGCTGCCCGCGCTTGGTCTGTTCTGGCTCCGTCCGTTCGGGTCTGGCCTTCGTCGGTGGTGCCCCGTGCGTTTGCCACCACGGGTCGGGCCTCTCGAACGTGGCGCGTTTTTTTCTGTGCCTGGTGCCCAGTGCACCAGAGGTTTCCGGCGACGCCTTGGCGTCCTTCAGTGCATGCAGTGGCGCAAGTGGCCCCGACCGAAGGGGAGTCTGCCGCCTGCCCCTGCACGCTGCCGACGGTGGACAGACTCTGTCCGCGGCCAGGCTGTGCCCAGGAGGAGGATGAGGATGATGATGAGGAGGAGGAGGAGGAAAAGGGGCTGGAGGAGGGGGGAGGAGGGAGGACGGAAGAGGGAGGAGAAGGGTTGAGGTAGGAGGAGGAGGAGGAGGTGGAGGAGGAGGAGGAGGAGGAGGAGGGGAGGAGGAGGAAAAGGTAGGAGGGAGGATGTGTGGAGAGGAGGAGGAGTGGAGGAGGAGAGGAGGAGGAGGTGGAGGGAGGTGGTGGAAGGAGTGAAGACGAAAGGGAGGTAGGAATGAGGACGTGTAGGAGGGGAGGAGGAGGAGAGGAGGAGTAAGAGGAGGAGGAGGAGGGAGGTGGAGGTGGAGGACTTGGAGGAGGAGGAGGAGGAGGAGGAGGAGGAGGAGGAGGAGGAGTAATAAGTGTTATAAGAAGAATATTACCACTAGGAATAAGACATCGAACTAACAATGATACTGCTACTTATAAGAGTAATGCCAATAATCGTTCTAAGCATACTAATAATTCCAATACTAATAGCACGAATATGAATAACAATACTAATCACAGTAATAACGCTACCAATAATTATTCTAAGAATAAAACGAAGAGTATACACAGTATAATATTGATAAGAGCACTCGATAGACTAATAGTAAATAACTAATAAGAACAGTAGGACTAATAACCATCATTAGAAGAGGAGGAGGAGGAAGAGGAGGAGGAGGAGGAGGAGCAGAAGGAGGAGGAGGAACAGCAGGAGGACAGGAGGAGGAGGAGCAGGAGGAGCAGGAGGAGGAGGAGGAGGAAGGAGGAGGATGAGTGAGGAGGAGGAGGAGGAGGAGGACTCTCTGGAGGAGGAGGGATCTCTGAGGATCATCGGCAGGTGAGCCTTCTGGTGGCCTTCCTGCTGGAGTGCATGGACACCCGCGCGGGTGGGGGCGGGGGCGGGTCTCGCGTGTTGCGGGCGCGACGCGGGCGGTGGTGGCGAGGCATAGCGGGATGGTGGGGAGGCGGGGAGGAGCTGCGAGTGGGTGAGGAGGATGGCGAAGACGGGGCGAGAGAGGAGGAGAGGAGGAAGGAGGAGGAGGAGGAAGGAGGAGGAGGAGGAGGAGGGGGGGAGTAGGAGGAGGAGGAGGAGGAGGAGGAGGAGGAGGAGGAGGAGGGGAGGAGGAGGGGGAGGAGGAGGAGGAGGAGGAGGGAGGAGGAGGAGGAGGAGGGGAGAGGAGAGGAGGTGGAGGAGGAGGAGGAGGAAGAGGAGAAGGACCGGATGAGGAGGGCGAGGAAGAGGACCTGTCGAGACAACGGTGGAATTCCCTGGTTTTTTCGTCCTTGTCGGGGCCCACTTGGAGAGCTGTCTTGGGCACGACTGGGCCCGCCTCGAAGAATGGGTCGGGATGGACATTGGGAGGAGACTTGGGTCAAATTTTTGAGCGGACTTGAGCCAGACTGGAGAGCCGCAGTTTTCACAAGTGCCCATCTTCGGAGAGGAGGAGGAGGAGGTTTCAGAAGGAGGTGGAGGGGGAGGGGGAGGAGGAGGAGGAGGAGGAGGAGGAGGAGGTGGAGGAGGAGGAGGGGGAGCAGGAGGAGGATGAGGAGGAGGAGGAGGAGGACACGTAGGAGGAGGAGGACGAGGAGGTGCTCCTTTGTCTCTCCCCGTCGTGCCTTGTTAGGTGCCCTTATGCCCTCTTTGTCCTCTGCCAGGCCGCTCGAGAGCTCGGCTCCCGCACCTCCGTGTCGCGATGCTGCCAATGACAGCGACGGCGACGGTGACGTTGACGGTGACGACCACGACGACGACGATGATGATGTTGATGTTGATGATGATGACGATGATGCTGATGCTGATGATGATGATGACGATGATGATGACGATGGTGATGCTGATGATACCGATGGTAACGATGATGACGACGCTGATGCTGCTGCTGCTGGCAATGATCATGATGGTGATGATGGTGATGCTGATGCCGCTGATGATGAAGGTGATGAAGATGTTGAAGCTGATGATGAAGATACTGTGGTTGTGATGATGGTGTGTGGAGGACGATATTCACGACCACGCTGATGACGATGATGCTGGTAATGCTTATACTGATGATTCTGATAATGCTGGTGGTGGTAATAATGCTGAGGATGACGATTCGGATGATGGTGCCGATTGTTATGATGCGTATGATGATGCTGTTGCCGATGATGACGACGCCGTCGGTGATGTTGATGATGCTGATGATGTTGATGCTGATATTGATGATGATGCTGCTGGTGATGCTGTTTCTGATTAGGAGTATTAGTATAGTGAATAAGGTAACGCATTATAATGGTGACGATGATGATGCTTATACTGATGATGCTGATGGCGATGATGATGCTTATGCTTGTGATGGTTCTGGTTATGATGCTGATGATGCTGATGCTGATGCTGATGCTGGTGATGATGCCGATGTTGATGCTGATGGCGGTGATGGCGATGATGATGCTGCTGATGATGATGCTTATGCTGATGGCGTTTATAATGCTGCTGATGATGCTGCTGATGATGACGATGACGATGACAATGACGATGACGATGCTGCTGCTGATGAGGATGATGCTGGTGCTTATGATGCTGATCATGCTGCTGATGATGCTGATTATGCTGATGATGCTGTTGCTGCTGCTGCTGATGATGATCATGATTCTGATTATGATTATGATTTTGAATGTGGTTATGATGCTGTGGATGATTGTGATGATGTCGTCGATGTTGAGGTTGTTGATGCTGTTGCCGATGGTGCTCTGATGTTGATGATGATGTCGGTGGTGATGGTGGTGCTGCTGTTTGTGGTGGTGATCATTATAATGACGGTGTTGGGCGTGGTTTGCTGGTGGTAACGACATTGGGGATGATGTTTCAATCGTGATGATGATGCGGAGGGAGGGAGGTAGGCGGCTGGTGCTGCGGATGAGGACGGTGGTGGTGGTGGTGGTGGTGGTGGTGGTGGTGGGAGGAGGAGGAGGAGGCCTGGAGAGAGCTCTGGGCGGCTTGTTTGGGCAAGTCCTGGGCGGTCATTCGTTCAGAGTCCTGTGATCTTCCTTTGGTGCTGCTGGCCCTCTTCACGCGCGTTCCCGCCGCCTCGACGCGTCAGCGTTGACAGCGCTGGCAGTCTGCTCCGGAGGATGGGCAGGAGGAAGAGGAGGAGGATGAGGAGGAGGAGGAGAAGGGACGGAAGGAGGATGAAGAGGATGGGGATGAAAAGGATAGGCAGGAGGCGGAGGGGGAGGAGGAGGAGGAGGAGGAGGAAGAGGAGGAGGAGAAGGAGGATGAGGAGGAGGAGGAGGAGGAGGAGGAGGAGGAGGAGGAGGAGGAGGAGGAGGATGGTGAGGACGAGGAGGAGGAGGAGGAGGAGGAGGAGGAGGAGGAGGAGGACGGAGCATGTAGGATGTAGGATGGACGATCGAGGACGGCGGTGGGGAGGAGGAGCACGAGGAGGAGGGGAGAAGGGAGGTGATCCTCAGCCAGCCCGACGGGAACTCTCGGGAGTCTCGCCCCCCTCCCTCTCTGGAGAGTGGGGGAGTTTCCGAGATACCGCTACCCTTCCCTCGTTTTGCCTTTTTGGGGCCTCCTAGGAGGCCCTCGTCGCCACCGCTGGATTCACCTCGAAATTTCAGTCTTCAGTCGGGCCTGTCCCTCGGGGAAACTTCAAAAATAGTCAAACAATGATCAAGGGACGATTTGTTGAGCAGTTCTTTAGCCATTTTGGGGCACTTTTTTGATTATTTTGTGATGTTTCGGCCAGAATTCCCCCTGTAGGGGGACAGGCCCGACCTAATTCCAGTCAGAACACACCCCGGGAGAGGTCCAGGGGGTACTCCAGATCCTTCAATAAGCACCCCCCCCGTGCCAACCTGTTCGACGCCCCTTGCCCGCCCCCCGACGTGCCCCAAACCCACTCCCTCTCGCTCCCCAACCTCCCCACGCCCCTCGAAGGACAGCGGTTTCCTACCCCCTGTCGCGTTCCCCCCCCCCCGCGCTTATTGAGAGACCTGGGGTAGCGGTACTTTTGACTTTTGGTTTCCCTGGGAGGAAGGGAGGGTGGGGGCGCCGCCGCGGCAGGAGACGCTCGACGCGAAGCCGGGCGGCCTGTGCGAGGCGCCCCAAGAAGGGGAGGCGTGGAGGGAGGATGGAGGGGGAGGGGGAGGAGGAGGAGGGAGGAGGGAGGAGGAGGCGGAGGTGAGGAGGAGGAGGAGGAGGAGAGAGGGAGGAGGGAGGAGGGAGGTGGGAGGAGGGAGGAGGGAGGAGGGGAGGAAGAGGAGGAGGGGAGGAGGAGGTGGCAGGTGGAGGAGGGAGGAGGAGGAGGAGGAGGAGGAGGAGGAGGGAGGAGGGAGGAGGAGGGAGGTGGGGAAGAGCAGGAGGGAGGAGGAGGGAGGGGGAGAGGGAGCTGGGGGGGAGGGTTGAGAAGGTAGGGGGAGCCGGGGAGGGAGGCTGAGGAGGTAGGGGGAGGGGGAGGACGAGGAGGACGAGGACGAGGATGCGGACGAGGAGGCTACGAAGATAGGAGTCTTGTTCCCCAAGTGGGCTTTGCCTTAGGGGGTCTCTCTTGTTTGCGAAGAGTCCGGGGTTCCTCGAGGTTTCTCGGCTTTGTTTCTTGGCGTTCCCCAGTTCTATTTCTTTGCAAGGCGTTGCCCAGGTTCCTTGGTCTTGGTTCTTTGTTTTTTCGGTCTTGGTTTCTTGGTTCCTTAGTCCTGGCTCCTTGGTTACTTGGGGAGGAGGAGGGAGGAGGGAGGAGGAGGGAGGTGGGGAAGAGCAGGAGGGAGGAGGAGGGAGGGGGAGAGGGAGCTGGGGGGGAGGGTTGAGAAGGTAGGGGGAGCCGGGGAGGGAGGCTGAGGAGGTAGGGGGAGGGGGAGGACGAGGAGGACGAGGACGAGGATGCGGACGAGGAGGCTACGAAGATAGGAGTCTTGTTCCCCAAGTGGGCTTTGCCTTAGGGGGTCTCTCTTGTTTGCGAAGAGTCCGGGGTTCCTCGAGGTTTCTCGGCTTTGTTTCTTGGCGTTCCCCAGTTCTATTTCTTTGCAAGGCGTTGCCCAGGTTCCTTGGTCTTGGTTCTTTGTTTTTTCGGTCTTGGTTTCTTGGTTCCTTAGTCCTGGCTCCTTGGTTACTTGGTCTTTGTGTCTTGGTCCTGGTTCCTTGGTTTTGATTACGTGGTATCGTTTCGTTGGTTCCTCGATCTTGGTTCCTTGGTTTTGTCTCTTGGGGTCCTTGGTCTTGATTCCATGGTTCCTTGATCTTGGTTCCTTGGTGCCTCGCCACGCAGTGCAAGCAATGCCAAGCAATTTAATGCCACGCAATCTTTGATGCCTCGCCAGCAACTGTCGCCTCGTACGGTGGGTTCATGCGTCGTTGGCGCGGTGGCGACGCCAGCGAAGGCGTTCAAGGTTTAATTCTGCGATGCGGAGGCACCGATGGACAGGGTGACGCCACTGGACTTGATGGAAAGATCGGGTCGCGATCGATTCAAGGTTGAACGATCGGCGTGGTGTCAAACTGGTTTGCGCACGCTGGCGCCGCACGAACCTACCGTAAAGCCGCTTGCGGTCGTCATCGGTCAAAATGGACCCAGTCCCCGCACAGCTGTTGCCACTGCCGCTCCCACTGGATGCACCATCACCAGCAGCAGCACCATCGTGGCCAGCATCAGTCAGCACGTTTAGGGCTGACGACAGCCACCGCTTTGGCCGACAGCAATCCTCGGAGCTTCTTCGTTTCGGATCTCTTGAGGAATGGGCTCGAGCAGTGGGCCATCCCGGATCTCCTCATCCCTGACTTCGAGACCTCGAGAACAGTCGTCGACGTCTTCTGGAACCAGGGCCGACAGCTCCTCGACCTTCTTTGGCCTCGGTGCCGGCCCCGCGAACCTCGATGCCTCTCTCCAGCTCCTCTGTTTGGCGCTGCTTCTGGCCCAGCTCATTCTTCGTCCGCTTGAGTGCCGGCTTGTCGGAAACTGGAGCATATACATTACCAGTGGCGGGCGGGTTTTCAATCCCAGGACTTTCTTGATGGTCGGGGACGACGTCGGGGTGGTGTGGTGTATGGTTTTTTCCCCGTTTTCCGGGGGAAACAACGAAGAGTGTATACACCAGGATCCCGTATGCACCAGGAACCGCTTTCCTGTGCGAGATTCAGTGTGAGGCCAGACAGAGGCGTCGGTGTACAGGGTTCCGTTCCCTGGCTCGGTCTTCTGGACACCCTGGCAGGCTCAACGACCCGCCGCCCGCGGGCCGAGCAGCCCCTCGCCGCTCCTCGCGCACCCGGCCGCCGGCTGCTGCCCGGAGGGGCACACGCAGGCTCCCTTGCGCGGCCCTGGCGTGCCCCGCAAGCTTGGCGTGCTCACCCTTTGTGTTGAGTGGGGCCCGTCCCCCTGCAGGCCGATTTTGGGTGAAGAATCCCCAACTACTCAAAAACATATTCCAAACATGATCAAACATGGTCAAACAATCGTCCCCACATTATTTTTTGACCATGTTACCCCTGTAGAGGGACACGCCCGGCTCACCCTTTGTGCATCTCCGTCCTCGTCGTCGCCGGGCTTCGTGCCTGAACAAGGTGGCTTCCACCAGGGCGCCTGCGCTCGGATTGCCTGGAGTGGGCGAGGTCTGGGCGAGGGCCGCCCCTCGATGGAGGCCATCCACTCCTGGAGCCGCTTCTGCACGCCAGTGCGATGTCTCGGCGCGGCCCCCAGGGTTGAGCTCTGCGTCGGCGTTCTTCTGGGCTGCAGCGGCGATGCGGTGTGGTGCTGCCCGTTCGCACTGGCGCACAACGCGGCTCGCCCAGTTCTCTGTCTGCACGAGGACGAGCGAGGACGAGGAGGAGGAGGAGGAGGAGGAGGAGGAGGAGGAGGAGGAGGAGGAGGAGGAGGAGGAGGAGCGACGAGGAGCCAGGAGGAGGAGGAGCGAGGAGGAGCGAGGAGGAGCGAGGAGGAGCGAGGAGGAGCGAGGAGGAGCGAGGAGGAGCGAGGACGAGTAGGCACTGCCCACCGCACCGGTGCGGCTGCCTGGGGCCGCGCAGCGCAGACGCCTCTTGCGGCGGCAGCGCCCTTCGCACCGAGATGGCCCCGGAAGTCCCCCTAAGCATATGAGAACGCTGCTCACCCGCGCGCGCGGGGGCGGCCAGCCGCTTGGACAGACCAGTTGCTGGAGAGCAGTGTGGAAAGAAGCCGCGGACAAGCGGTATCCAGTTGGCTCGTGGAGGACCTCGAAACCATGAGCCACAATGGCTACGGGGAGGAGGAGGAGCGGGAGGAGAAGGAGGGGGACAAGAAGGACAATAGGGAGGATGAGGAGGAGGAAGTCTCGGGCACTTCCGGAGCGCCCTCTGCGAAGCAAGCCTGCTGGAAGGTATCCCGAGGCCAGAGAATTCTCTTGAGGATCCACAGGGCGTCCGGACATTTGGAGCTTCCCTGCTTCCCGCCGCCTGCCCTCCCCAGGCGCCGAAAGCGTGCCCCAAGGGTCCTTTCGATCCGTTCGATCCGATCCGATTTCGATGTTCCGACGACCCGATGCGGCCCGATGGCCTGCACGGGCGTTGTTGGGCATCCTGCCGCAGCCGATCCCATGCATGCGGACACGGTCCGATGCGCCGATTCGATCTGCCGATTCGGTGCTGGCTGACCCTGCAGGAGGTGGAGCAGGGGGGGCGTGCGCGTCGTCTCGTTCCACCCTGGCGCTTGGCCGCCTGGGATGCACTTTGCGTGTCGACTCCCACTCCGCCCTCGGACTCGGAGTCCGACGACGGCTTGCGTAGCCTGAAGCACGCCCCCATGCCTGAGATTGGCGCCGCCTGACCTCGGTCCCGATATGCAGGGCTCCCTCGAAGAAGAAGAAGAAGAAAAAGAAGAAGAAGCAGAAGAAGAAGAAGAATAATAACCACAACAATTCATCATGAGAAGAGACAGCAGGTTCACAAACATACGCTGTGGGAGGTCCGCGCGGATCTCTCGGATCGTCGCTGGACTCCTCCCCCCCCTGGGCGCTCCAGCGCCGATCCGGGAGAGGTCCGCGCGAGGCACCGAGAGTCGTGTTCGTGCCGCTCTCGGTTCCTCTGCGAGGGCCCACGCCCACTGGGGAGGGGGAGGAGGAGGAGGAGGAGGAGGAGGATGGATGGATGGATGGAGCGGTCGCGAAGCGATGTACGGTAGGTTTGCGTCGTGTCGACCAGCGGCGACCCCAGCGCGGGCGTTCAACCTTGAACGCCGCCAGCGACCCAGAATCGATCGATGTTGAACGATCGGACGTTGCGGCAGCGGCCGATCGTTCAAGGTTGAACGATCCCTGCGGTGTCAAAAACCAACGCTGGGGTCGGCACGACACGAACCTGCCGTAACACGGCACGCAGACCTTCCCGACGAACCAGACGACCAAGTAGGACACGTCGAGGAACCCGGGTATGCCGGCGCTGACCACGAGCTGACATGAGAAGTACGGGAACGGCAATAGGCAGATACCACGTGTGAGTCCCTCACTCCAGACCTAAGAATACCAGAGAACTGAAGCTTCACTCCTTCCCACCAACCTCGCTGGAACGAAAAATGAAATAAGTGAGCCCATGATAGGAGAGACGGCTAAGCCGAAACGAAGACTGCTCGATGCGGCCCTTATTCAATGGACCGAAACCATTGGTCATCGGGCAACCCCATATCCTGGAAAAATACGAGATCGCAGCCTCCGCAGGCGGCCTCGCCCCCAGCTAACCGTAGGAACACTATGACAAAAGTCTGAAGCACCAGGACACTATGCGAGGCGCCAAAATCTCTGGCCAGTAGCTGTAGCACAATTTATGGTGAAACGCTCGCCCAGTGCGGCACCGAAAGTGAGGGCGCTCCGAGGGGACCGCACATAAACCAGACAAGAAAATACCAGTGTATGCGCTAGCCCATGGCTGGAGTGCAAGAGACGATGCGCCGAGGGGACCGCGCCTGCCGTTGTTCGCCCTTCTCGCACGTGCTGAGTTCAGCGTTGTAGCTGACGGCTGCAGGCACACACCCTGCCTTCTCGCACTTGCTGATCCGAGCGATGTAGCTGATGGCGCCCCCTTTATCGAACGAGCCACTCCACCACCTCGACGTTCGGGATTCAAACCGTCGTACTTGCTGTAGC